CCACTGAGCCACTCCAGCTCCAGGGAGCCGTGGCCGGCGGCGCCCTCCCGGGGCCTGTTGGCCAGGGTCTGCCACCGACGAATGTAAACCTGTCGCAGCCTGTGGCCCTGGCAACTCAGCCGGGCCCGGCGGTCGGCTCTTCGTTGCCGCAGCATCCCCAGCAGTTCGCGTATCCCCAGCCTCAGATACCACCGGGGCATTTGTTGCCCGTTCAGCCCTCCGGCCAGAGTGAGTACCTGCAGCCGCACGTGGCCCTGCAGCCGCCAAGCCCTGCGCAGCCCTTGACCACAAGCGCTGGCGTGACCTCTGCTTCTGTGGCCAGCTTTCCTTTGGGCTCTGGCCAGAGCGTCTCCTCATTGGGTACGCAGATGATGGGCGCCTCTTCCCAGCCCATTGAAGCTGTGGCTCCGGGTCCTGTTCCTGGCGTCCAGGCCGCTCCTTGTCAGCCGGCGGGAGTGGCCCCAGCTGCTATAGGAGGCGTGGTGCAGCCAGGCTCGACGCAGCCCCAGTCTGTGCAGCCTCCACCGCAGATGGGTGGCAGTGGTCAGCTGTCAGCCGTGCCTGGTGGTCCTCACACCGTGGTGCCCGGAGTTCCAAACGTGCCTGCAGCGGTACCCGCTCCAAGCGTGCCTAGTGTGCCCACCACTTCTGTTACTATGCCAAATGTACCCGCGCCTCTGGGCCAGTCTCAGCAGCTGAGCAGCCATACACCAGTCAGCCGGAGCAGCAGCGTCATCCAACAAGTTGGGCCGCCCTTAGCGCAAGGCACGCACAGTGCACCAACAAGTCTACCACAGTCTGACCTAAGCCAGTTTCAGACTCCGACCCAGCCTTTAGTCGGGCAAGTTGACGATACTAGAAGAAAATCAGAACCCCTACCTCAACCACCACTTTCTCTCATTGCTGAAAATAAGCCTGTTGTGAAGCCTCCAGTTGCAGATGCCCTGGCAAACCCCCTTCAGTTAACACCTATGAACAGTCTGGCCACCTCTGTATTCAGCATAGCTATTCCTGTTGATGGTGATGAAGACAGGTATGGAAATTTTTTTTTTAAATACTTGCTAGGATTGCTTGGCCCAAATAGCTTAGGATACAGTTTGGGGAGATTTTTTTTTTCACTTGAAGCCTTTATTTTTATTTTCAAAACTCAGTAAAATCAATACAAAGTTTTGAAGTAGAGGTGTAAGGAGACTTGGTCAAGGTTTTTGTTTTGTTTGTTGTTTTTAAGCATTTAAATGGATAGTGCCTTGACGCGGTTGATGTATTTCAGCTTAACAGTTTAAAGCTGGTATGCTCTCCCCATCAGTAATGTCCCTTTCTAAGGTATTGATTACTTTTGAGTGCTTATGGCAGAGTGGAGCCAGAGGTTGTTTTGAAACTGAGACTGAAAATCAGAAGGCCTTTTAGTTGGGGCGTGTTTGCCAGAGTTTGTTTTGAAACTGAGACTGAAAATCAGAAGGCCTTTTAGTTGGGGCGTGGAAGTAGGGAATTGAAGCAGTCTCCATCAGGGAATTTGGGGAAACTGGAGAGAGAATGGTAAAATGTGAAATCTTGCTTTGACTATCCTAAGTCAGACTTCTAACAAAAGGGAATCTTGAGGGTTCCCAGTAATTTCTCAAGCAAAAAAAAGGAGGTGTGAAGTGCTTAAAGTAGTAAAAACTTTAGTTTCTGAAATGTATAAATGTCAGCAATCAACACCCTCTACCCAGAGTGTAAGGATTGCTTTTTTAATAGTTAAGATAAGAGTCAGTGTATTGCTACACTGTTCTATAGCAGTTTATGTTTGTTTATGACCTAATTAGGAATTTTAGTCTTTTTTAGGAGCTGTCATGTAGACCTTTGACATTATGTAATTCCAAACTTGTTAAAACCTTAATTGCAGCGTTTTAACACCACATTAAAAATTACAGAAAAAGAGTGGATATCTTCTTATTGAAGGTTTTTGGGAGAGGCTAATTTTAGTTGCTAGAAGGATCAAAATGTGGTATGAGTTTCATTGATATGTAGAAGACTAGCATGAAATATAAGTGCTGTGATTCCTCACAGTCTTAGCTTTTTCTAATTATTCCTGTTTTATTTTTATATATTCTTCTGCTAGTTTAAAAATGTTTACTGGAATTCATTCATCTCTGTTTTTGTAATTCAAAGTTTGATTTCTGTAGCCAAGTTGGAAGTCTTTGTTTCACTTGAGAACTCAAGTGTCCATAAGTCAGCTAGCTAGTCATTGAAAATTTTAATATGGGTGGGATTACCAAGTTTAAAACAAAAACAAAAAACCTGATTTCTGAAGCAACTAAAAAAACCAAAGATCCTCTTTTTCTGGTTGCTCCTGTTTTCACTGGTAAGGCCACATTTGAGAAGCAGATGGAGTTTCCCTTTCAAGTTTGGTGGACAGTACCTTATCTTTTCTAGCTACCAGGAACCTGTAATTTCTAAGTTGGTGAATTAACTTTTACTTACCCTCTCTGATCTACGAACTGCCCTATATCTCTTTGATAAATGATTTTTTTCCCCAGCCTCCTATTTCACACATAAAACCTACGAATGAAGAATACATCTTTTCTCTTCACGCACTTTGCAGTTGATAACATATTCCTCAGAAATTAACAGGATAATAATATATTATTGGAAACTCTGAAACATATTCCTTATGAATACGTGCTACAGATGCATGCATTTTACCTTTCTGTAGTAAAAGTAATCTCAGAAATTATATTTCCAAATATAATGAATGTTTTAACTACAGATGGTGCTATATTGTTCTTAGCTGCATCAGTTGATCCTTTTCAAGGGTTTGATTGTGTAAAGTCCCATTTTAAATGTGCCACTCTTTTTCTTTACCCCAATCTTAAATTCTGCATTGTATATTATCAGTTTTACCATTGATTTTAATATACTGGTTTCCAAGATGTAATCTTACACATTTGATGGTTTGTCACTGGACCAACACACCTGGTGAAGGATTGAATCCATTAATTAGAAATAGGGTTTTGTTTGTTTGTTTAAGGAATGTCTTTGTAAAAGAGGACAATCTAAAGTTTTGCACTTGAGACTAATGGTTTTCCAGGAACACGTTTAAATTAACCAGGTGAATATCTTTTTAGGAATAGTACTAACTAGAATACTACTTTTAAATGTAATTTGAAGTTACTTTCTCAAAATCTGCAGCATTACTTGTAATCCTTCAAATCTGATATAAATTGAAGGGGTCTTGAGGAATTATGTCTTAAACTTTGTGAATAGGTTAATACATTTAGATCCTAAAGAAATACTTGTAAATATTCATTTTTTGTTTAAATTCCAAATTTAATAAACAGGTTTTTGTTCTTTTGTTTTTAAACAAAGAAGGGAAATGGGAGGTAACAAAAGGTGGGTTTTAGGTTCATGTATTTGAAGCCCTGTCATGGTTTTGGTTCCATATAAGGGCCTATATTGAATCAATTTTGAGATCATTTATATTAAACAACTACTATGACACCTTTAAAAGGACTGATGCAAAGGGTTTTCAGTTATCTGCCTGCTGACCCTACATTATTAGTGTCATGTTGTGAGATTTTTTTCCCAGTCATTTTGATTAGAAAAAAATTATGATTATACATTAAGACTTCTCAGATTGGATTTGTATAAGTTGGTGGTTATAATGATGGTTGATAAAGAATTGTATAACCACTTTTTAAGTGAATATTACAAAATTTGCTTAAACTGCCTGTACATTTAACACACTGCTTTACTGTAAATGAGAGGAGATGTAAACTGTTACTGGCCCTACATGGAGCACAATGCAGATTGTTTTCCTTAAATAACTGGCCAGTGTGAACTCTGAAGTTAGCATTCCAGGAACTCCTGAATGGCTATAATTGTGAACTGTCAACTGTCTAACTGACAGTTGAAAACCATTATTTTAAGGATCTCTTAGTGGCATATATCTCTATGTCTCGTTTAATTTGAATAATTTGCTAATGACTAGTAATGCTAACTGGCATGTTTTGCTATGTGCTATAAATACAAGTTTGTTCATATATATATATATATATATATTTAATGGACTTCTCTTTTTCAACTTGAAGCTTAAGTGAGAGGATTTATTTAAGTATATACCAGGAACAACACTGTCCTCTTGTATTGATATAAAACCTACAGAGCTTTCATATTTTTAAACTTATGTACAGAGAGAGCAAGGAGACCTTTCTGTAACATAACTCTTAAAAAGGGGTCTCCCATGATGCAATAGATTTAAGAGAGAGAGAGAGTCCAAAGAAACATATCATGGAGATAATTTTGACCTTCCAACTTTATAATTAATGAGTAAATCACAAGCAAGATACTGTCTTATTCCTAAAACTATGGGAATTCATTCCTACCAAGGAGTAGGTAGTCAAAGTATAAAATCAAGCCATGCAATGGTGGCACATGCCTTTAATCCCAGCACTGGGAGTCAGAGGCAGGTGGATCTCTGAATTCGAGGATAGCCAGGGCTACACAGAGAAACCTTGTCTCAAAAAAATGTATAAAATCACATGTATACATATTAGTATAAAAACTGATGATGGTACATTCATTAAATATGTCTAACTACTAAAATATACATTAGTTGTAAGCATGGATCTAAATAAAAGAAATTCTGAATTTACAGAAAAGCTGATGATTTTCCAAAGAAGATGAAATCCTACAGCTATATCAATAGAAGTTTGGCCTTTTATATTCACAGGAACACATTTTTCTTAATTAAGAACTAATTAATTTGGGCCAAATGTTTATTATTTTAAAGGAAATAAACGTATATAGGAATGAAACATTACAAGTACCTATTTTAGTACAGTTTTTTCATGTAAGTGAAAGAAGCGTATGGGATCATAAATCTGTGAAATCATCTTTGTGAGAAGCCATTTACATAGTATTAGAAATAGGGTTAATATGTACCCCGAGTATAAATGCAGTATCAACGTATTTGTTCTTTGAGGCTCTGACAGTATTTATTTGGAAATGGTATGACACTGGGATTATGCATCTGGTGCTTGAGACTTTGGAGCAGAGCTTATTTATTTATTTATTTATTTATTTATTTATTTATTTTATTGCACAGGAAGAGAGGTTAGATGCAGTGTCCTTCAATGACAAGTAGCAATCCATTAAGCAAATGCTCCCACCTCGAATCATTTTTTTGTTTTGTTTTCCAGACAGGGTTTCTCTGTAGCTTTGGAGCCTATCCTGGAACTCACTCTGTAGACCAGGCTGGCCTCGAACTCACAGAGATCCACCTGCCTCTGCCTCCTGAATGCTGGGATTAAAGGCATCAATCATCTTCTTAATAGAGGGAATGGATGTTAGAGTAGGAAAGAGATTTTGATTTTTCATTTTCCATGATGGCCTGAGTTGAGGGGTAGGGAAAAATTGTATTGAGTGATGACCTAACAAATATGAAAGAAAATAAAGTTGAATAACATCTGTTTCATCTTAAAAGAAATGAACTTATCAATAATGAGGGCTAGTAGTCTGGTTTTTGTAACTTTTTCTTTTGGATAACTTTTTTAGACCATTTTGTATTTACTTTTCTGAAGAGATATTGCTTATTATATTAGTCTTTAATAAATATAAAGAGAGAGGGGCTTTATAAAAAAAAAGCCAGTCTGTCTAGTTAAATGTAGCCTAAATGTTGCACCCGTCCTAGATGCTTATGGGGGGAAACAAGACCAAATTTTTTTAAAAAATAAATCTTAATTATTAGTATTGTTTATAGGGTATTGTGCAACAAAACTTATATATTGGAATAAACCTTTAAGCTTGTGGGATTTTTTCTTTATATTCAACTAGTGGTTTAAGCTATTGTTTTAGATAGCAAAATGCTGATGGTACATCTACAAAGAATGTTCATATATAAATCATTGATCTTTCTCATAGCAAATCAAGACCATACTAATTATTCAATATTTTTTATGTTCTTAGCCTGGCATTGTTTAAAGCAAAAGTTAGATGCTTTTTGGGGAGGCAGAGGCAGACTGGTCTCTGAGTTCTAAGCCAGCCTGATTTGCATAA